TGGCTAGTAAGCGAATATGATAAAAAAAAAAAAAACTACTGGAAATAAGTCTCTCTGGTTCTCTCAGCTGAAATATTCTGACTCGCAAGTCGTTTCAGGGGTAATGGGTAATGGATAGTTGCGTTACCTGACATATTGGGTTTCTTTGGACCTTCATATTATTGTACTGGCAGCTCAGGTACTACATCATCTGACATCTGTGTTCTTTAGGCTTTTGATCTTGCTTGCAGTTTGATTTTTCCGTAGAATAATGTGCTGTTGTGTCTGAGATAGAAGGATGGTCAGGGCATAAGATGATTGGGGATGAAACGCGAGCGTCAAAATTAGTTGATACCACCTGGACCAGTCCTGCTTAGTCACGTGAGATTTCCATATGGTCTTTATTACTGGCTGCTGCAGGAGCTGCAGAAGATTTGAAATGCAGTACTTCATCATGTGTTGAGGTGACCTCCAAACCCTTGAAACAGTTCAATGGCTGTCTTCTCATACACAACTACTCCCAGTGCAATCTGTAAGGACGATGTTTTGTTAGTGACAGCACAGGTCACTTTGTTCCCCGCCATTGCAATTGGTAGATCAGCATCAAGTTTCGTTATAGACGAGACTGAAAGCTCAATAAGGTTGAGCTGGTTCAAGCGAGCGCATCACCTAGACTAATTCTACTATCATCTGTTGAATAATCCTTTTTGAGCTATACAGATTCCCTGATGATCTTCTTGGCCACTCGCTATGTCATAACTTGCAACTAACTTAATGTGTTTCGAAACTTGTTTCTTGAAGAGTAAGATATTGACCACTCCATCACCTGGTAGAATCAGAAGACCTTGCTCAAATATACATCATCGGCTGCATTAGGTCACTGACAGCTGCTTGGACTATCGGTCTGGCTTTATTTACCTAGTCATCATTACACTGGTCACATGTTTCCAAAATAACTTCCTTGAATGTTTTCCTAGAGTCCCCACGATCCATAGTGCGAAACTTTATAACACGACGTCATCGACTTGTGTATCGAGGATCCATCTTTAGGCATTTCTCTCCACAGGAGATACAATGTTCTTTGAAGCTGAATGACGCTTCTTCAGAGCGACGACATCTTTTCACTGTTGGCTTAACACTGGTGTCACCTCGTTTGGAAATGTAACCTTTGATGTGGTGTATGACGAGACACAGTTTTTATGACATATTTATCTAGTAGCTGAGTCATGTGACAATTGTTCGTTTAAAGTATCACCTTTTTGTGTACTAGCTCTCACTAATTTAAACGTTCTACACCTACATCACAAAATCTTCCACCACCATCACTATAGTTTACATAATCCTTCAAATAACAATTATCTTCAGCCATGCTCATTCTCTTTTATAAATGACTTGTAATTAGTAGAAACATGCAGTTATTTAACCCATCACCATATTGATCAAATTAATTGTTACATGCCTCAAATTCTTCCACCAGACACTAAATTTTCAATTCCCCTCTAGTACCTGAAATCAGAAATAACGAAGGCTGTGGAAGAAGCATTATCGCTATAATAAGGTAACTGTGCATAGTATGCTTGTTTGAATGATAAAACTGATTTACAAGTGAAAGAATATTATTCAAATACTGTACATATTTTCAAATTTTTTGTGAAAAGTTCATGATGCTGATATCATATTAATTGTCCATATGTTCTAACAGATTCATAGATTACAAATAAATGGATTTTTCGACCAAATGAAGTCACTTTCTCGATTAGAAGTTGATATATGTTCAAATATAGTAATTGCGCGTTAGCTGCGGAGGCCATTTTGAATTTGGTCAATAATAATTTTCCTCAAGGGTACAAGCTTGGCACCCTGCTGAATTGTGATGAGTAGAACATAATCTACCAGAAACATCAATAAAACATGTTCGATATAATTCTGTTCATCGTCTTCAGAGGAAACCATTACTATTTTGCCATTATCACTCTGGCCCTGGCACTTACAATGCACACTGCAAGCAATGCGTTCTACAGAGGGCACCCTGCTTTCTACATGAACAACGAAAATCCATCAGTAAATCTCTGGGTACAAGTTCCTTGTCTACAATGACGGGTACAAGTTCCTTGTTCCTTGTCCATGATGACGGGTATAAATCCCTTGTCTATGATGACGGGTACAAGTTCCTTGTCCATGATGACGGGTACAAGTTCCTTGTCCATGATGACGGGTACAAGTTACTTGTTCCTTGTCCATGATGACGGGTATAAGTCCCTTGTCTATGATGACGGGTACAAGTTCCTTGTCCATGATGACGGGTACAAGTTCCTTGTCCATGATGACGGGTACAAGTTCCTTGTCCATGATGACGGGCACAAGTTCCTTGTCCATGATGACGGGTACAAGTTCCTTGTCCACGATGACGGGTACAAGTTACTTGTTCCTTGTCCATGATGACGGGTACAAGTTCCTTGTCTATGATGATGAATAAGAAGGTTGATCCTTCATCATGGAACACAGACTCTCGGGAACCAGTACTGTCTTCAGGTGCTTTCACCTATTGACCTGGCTGTGAACTGACAGTAGTAGACATTTTCTCTGGTGACCTGATAGTGGACTGCCAGTTAGTGGTAATGACAAGCATCACTGGTGATATGTACCTGGGTGATACACCCAGAAAATATCAAAGTTCATTTAGTAATTTGTTCTTGTTACCTTCTTTATATAGAGACGCAATATATCTTTCACTAGCCATTCACGTGTTCTTTTGAAGTTGTGTGTGTGTGTGTGTGTGTGTGTGCTTTGTTACACGCATGTTACAATGTATTGCTTTCATATGTGTTTTATAAAAGGGATACTTTTTGCTATAAACAAAATAAAGCATTCATAGTAAATGCCTCCCCACCACCCTAATCTATAGCTCTGTCTCTCTGTCTCTCTATCAGCGTCAATTTCTTAACTATATTCTTTACCAACATTACTTGGTATTCTGTATGTGAACCTAAATGGTGTATCATGATGTTGTCAGTTGTAGTAAGGTGAGGAAGTGTTTCCATGTTTTATCTCTCTGTGACCAGTCTCCGTGGCCTGTCCTTAGTGAGAACATCAAAAGTGAAAGCATATGTTTTTTTTAAACCTGGCAGGGATATTGCTCCCCGAGGACTCTGACAACATACACGACAGCAGGTTCCGACTATATTAGCTAGCAGAAGAGCGTTCGGAGAATTATCACGCAATTGTAATTAAGGAAACCATTACATGCGGAATTTTGTTATTTTTTTAGTTTTTGTAAAATATTAAAGCCTTAAGAGATCTTAGGAGTTCATAAAAAAGTTAAATTGATCACTGAACTATGAGTCTTAGTTTGTTTCAGATAATAATATATTTTGAAGTAACTGGAAAATAATACCATAAAGAAGCTAAGGGTAAAGACATTACACTAATTTTAATAAGATTGTGTTTATGTAAGTCATTCTAACAGTCACATTCTGGAAAATTATCTTCTTCATCTCTCATGCCACATACTCTAAACAGTTATTGTCTAGACCTTACCATTATATATTTGTTATTACATAAGTAGACAAATGGTGTTGTTTTAAGAGTTATGCACTAACACTAACATTGTTCAACAAACAGATTACATATAATGAAGCAGGACGCCAGTAGTCAGCGTCTGATTATCTATTTACCAATTATCTTTTTTTTCTCTGGTGTCGGTGGTGACGCCGAGTGTTTGTGGTGCCTCCAGTGTTATTGCTGCCCTGCGACGACCAGCACGTTATCTGCCACTCACTGTTCACATATGACCTGCCTAACTCGAAATATTTCTTAATTGTGCAATAATAATAATAATAATAATAATAATAACATTTTAGCGTAAAGTAATTAAAGCGAACCATTGTATTATCAGTAGCGTTGTGGGGCGTGGAACTAACCAGTAGTCAAGAACAGTGAGTGGTAGGAACACTGTGGAACTAACCAGTGGTCAGGACACTGTGGAACTAACCAGTGGTCAGGAACAGTTAGTAGTCAGAAAAATGTGGAAGTAACCAGTGGTCAGGAACAGTTAGTGGTCGGAACACTGGAACTAACCAGTGGTCAGGACACTGTGGAACTAACCAGTGGTAGGAACACTGTGGAACTAACCAGTGGTCAGGACACTGTGGAACTAACCAGTGGTCAGGACACTGTGGAACTAACCAGTGGTCGGAATACTGTGGACCTAACCAGTGGTCAGGACACTGTAGAACTAACCAGTGGTCAGGACACTGTGAACCAACCAGGTCGAACACTGTGGACCCAACCAGTGGTCAGGACACTGTGGAACTAACCAGTGGTCAGGAACACTCGGAACCAACCAGTGGTCAGGACACTGTAGAACTAACCAGTGGTCAGGACACTGTGGAACAACCAGTGGTCAGGACTCTGGAACCAACCAGTGGTCAGACTCTGGAACTAACCAGTGGTCAGGACACTGTAGAACCAACCAGTGGTCAGGACACTGTGGAACCAACCAGTGGTCAGGACTCTGTGGAACTAACCAGTGGTCAGACTCTGTGGAACCAACCAGTGGTCAGGACTCTGTGAACCAACCAGTGGTCAGACACTGTAAAACAACCAGGGTCAGGACTCAGGAACTAACCAGCGGTCAGACACTGTGGAACCAACCATGGCCAACTAGAACTAACCAGTGGTCAGGACACTGTGGAACTAACCAGTGGTCAGGACACTGTGGAACTAACCAGTGGTCGGAATACTGTGGACCCAACCAGTGGTCAGGACACTGTAGAACTAACCAGTGGTCAGACACTGTGGAACTAACCAGTGGTCGGAACACTGTGGACCTAACCAGTGGTCAGGACACTGTGGAACTAACCAGTGGTCAGGAACACTGTGGAACCAACCAGTGTCAGGACACTGTAGAACTAACCAGTGGTCAGACACTGTGGAACCAACCAGTGGTCAGGACTCTGGGAACTAACCAGTGGTCAGGACTCTGTGGAACTAACCAGTGGTCAGGACACTAGAACAACCAGTGGTCAGGACACTGTGGAACTAACCAGTGGTCAGGACTCTGTGGAACTAACCAGTGGTCAGGACTCTGTGGAACTAACCAGTGGTCAGGACTCTGTGGAACTAACCAGTGGTCAGGACACTGTAAACTAACCAGTGGTCAGGACTCTGTGGAACTAACCAGCGGTCAGGACACTGTAGAACTAACCAGTGGTCAGGACACTGTAGAACTAACCAGTGGTCAGACACTGTGGAACTAACCAGTGGTCAGGACACTGTGGAACAACCAGTGGTCAAGAACAGTTAGTGGACACACTACGAACTAACCAGTTGTCAAGAACAGTTAGTGGACAGGACACTACGGAACTAACCAGTGGTCAGGAACAGTTAGTGGTCAGGGTACTGTGGAACTAACCAGTGGTCAGGAACAGTTAATGGTCAGGGCATTGTGGACCTAACAAGTGGTGAGGCCACTGTAGAGCTAACCAGTGGTCAGGCCACTGTGGAACTAATCAGTGGTCAGGAACAGTTTGTGATGAGGCCACTGTGGAGCTAACCAGTGGTCATGAAACACGTGTAGTAAGATCACTCTGAACCTACTGTAGAGTAGTAGTACCGCCGCCAGACTACAGTGGTGTGTGGTCTAGTAAATCAGTAATCATTTCATCATGTTTACATTAGGGTATTATTATTAACCAAAACAACAAGTAACATGTGAGAAGGGAACTTGTGCCCCACTTGACTCTACCAGCCTTAATAAACCTACAACACTACTCTCCTTCGGTCAACACGAGTCTCTCTATATACTGACCTTGTATCTGACGATACTCATCCCGTCTTGTAAGTGACGTCATTTAGCACGTCTTGTAAGTGACGTCATTTATCAGTGATTTGTATTAAAAAATCTCTCGGTCATCAGTTAACTTGCAGTACAATATCTGCTAAATGTTGTGTTGAGTGTTCACAAAACAATGGAACATTAGGGATGCCATTCTGCCCTTGTGGATACTGTAGATAAGAGAAATACTTTATGTACCAGCAGCTATGCGATATTAGCTTCACCCTGTACCAAGTTACTTAAGAAGGATGCAATTTTTGTATGGAATGCTGAACAAGAAGTTAGTTTTATTGCAATGAAGAAAGCACTTACCAATGTCCCTGTTTTAGCATTTCCTGATTACTCTCAAGAATTTACTCTGTATACCGACGCCTCAGGACAGGAATCGGCGCTGTACTTATGCAGCTAGACGCACGAGAAAATTTTAGAGTAATTGCTTTTGCAAGTCGTAAACTTAATGATGCCGAAACACGTTATTCAGTAACGCATTTAGAGACGTTAGCTGTTGTTTGGGCACTGAAGAAGTTTAAAAACATAATTTTTTGTTATAAAATAATCGTTTTTACAGATCATGCAGCAGTAACAGAGCTGTTCCACGGCAAAAATCTTTCAGGCAGATTAGCACGCCTGGCTTTTGACGTACTTAACAGGCAAGCCATGCCCTGTCTATAGTTTGGATGATTTCGCGAAAAAGCAGATCAGCGTTTTCACAGATATTCATGGTCAGGTACGGAAACATTTAGCAGCGACACGCGCTGAAATAATTTTAATTTGCTAATTCAGAAGATCATTCGCCATTTTGAAGCTTCAATCAGTTGCTAGGCAACGGAGACACCATTTTTGTTTTGTGGACTCCATCTGTTCTATTATCAACACGAGGGACATTGACCCAGTGACCGTGACCTTGGCATCAGCTGTGACTCGAGTTAGGACTACACCAGCTGACGGCTCCGGGACTTGAGGCAACAGCCTTAATCTTATCATCAACTGTATGAATACCATCACCGTCAACTACATGACCAAGGAAATCGGCTCTGGATTTTAAAAACTCACATTAAGAAAGTTTGACTTTAAGTCCTGCTGTAGAAAGTTTTTATACAGCCTCACGGAGTTTGGCAAGATGAGTATCTACATCCTTACTGACTACTATGAGATCATCTAAGCAAGCACATACTGTGGTACATATCAACCCGGCAAACAAGGTGTTGATCATCCTTTGAAAAGTCAGTGGGGCATTTCTGAGACCGAAAAGCATCCGCAAAAGTTCAAAATGGCCCAAGGGAGTATTAAAAGCAGTAACCTCTCGCGATTTTTCATCGAGTGGTATTTGCTAATATCCGCTAAGCAAATCTAAATTGCTAAAAACAGCGTTATCCTTGCCTAAGGGTTGTAAAATATCACTCAAGACAGGCATTGGGTACCTATCTGGGACAGTATCTTCATTGACGCGCCTAAAATCAATAACTGGGCGCCAACCGCTATCCTTCTTTGGGACTAAAAACAAAGGGCTATTGAAAAGGGATTTAAAGTGTGTGATAACCTTCTCATCTAACATATCCTGAACCATGTCCTGAACAACAGCGCACCTTCTATGTGGTAGTCGGTAAGCTGGTATGTTAATTGGATTCATCTCTCTTTTAAGGATATGCGATGAGAGGTTTGATCTGCCCCAACTATTCCCCTGGTAAAGCTACAATGTTTCTGTAGTCGGCAAGTAACTCTAAGAGTCTAATCTTACCTTGAGGGCGATCAATCACCTTAACATGTGGTGATATTTGATCTATTCTCTCCTGTCTGATTTGTTTAAGTGAAGAAGAAACACTACCATTTGGGAATTGTGTAGGCTGCTGTGCAACATGGTTATGATAAACTAAAAATTCATACAAGTAACATCCCTTTTTCAATATTCTAAGAGTGCCTGTTCTGTTGAGAAATAGAACGTCTGTTCAACCACCAGGTCGAATCGTGCTCAATGTAGATTCACCTGTAAGCCTTACTTGTTTCCGTAAGACAGACTACATCAGCCCCCGTGTACATGTCAGGTAAGAGAACAGTGGCTGTGGTGATTTCCTCATTCTGAAATTGGACAGTACCCGTTAAAACTGCAAGTACAATCCAACTTTCTCTGCTATAATCACGCTGGGAAAGTGAGTCTGTGAGGTCTTGAACTCACGTTGACTCATTATCCATCTTCCTCGTAGAAGGCATTGTGGATAACACTTTCAACCCTGCGGAGAGCAACGGTACAGAAGTGCCCATAGCATTGTAGGAAACACCATTAATTGTGATAGAATATTTACTTGGATGAACATCTATCAAATTAGTTCTAAGAGTTGGAAGACCTATTTACCCGTCAGCTGGTCAATTGAAATCTGGAACTACATAAAAATCTGCATAAAAGGAAATACCACGTCTAGAAAAGCATAGTGGTAATGGTATCATCCCAGCAATGTCCAGCTGAGTACCGGTAACTCCGGGATAGGTGTCAGTAGGTCGAAATTAAAATTTCCGGTGAGGGGATCTACGTTGTAACTCTTGATAGGAAGTCAAAGCTAATACAGTTGCATATACACCCGTATCAATATCCAGAGCCAACTTGACTGACCCAACTCTCGCCAGAACGGACAACACTTCCTCTTTGTTGAGTGCCGCTATTAATGAGGCTGCAACAGAAGTGTTGTTGCATGTTGGTTCTGGTGTACCTATCCTTTGACGTTCTGGTTCTTTCCCTGGTCTTCCCCCGACTTCTTGTAAAAACGACGATGCGCTGTACGCTGTTGTGTTACTTGGGGTGAGCCTGAGTCTATGTCCCAAACTCTTTGGACTCTGTGTTGTGGGAAGCAGAGTGATGGTACTCACATCACATATCAGTTTTATTTGCTGCTGAATGCGTCTTGGGTGGTACATGTTTCTGCCGTGGGATGGTGGTTGGAGGGGTCGCTTTATTAGTCTTGACACCACAACCATACTAGAGTTTGCAGAAGGTGATTGTCAGGAAACAGTTATTTTGAATCCCGACGCAAGGGCATTGAACTTTACATTTATAAGCGCTCATCTTTATCATGGGATGCCGTAGCCGAGTGTGTACAAGGCTTACTTTTTGTCTTAAAGGTAGCTAACTAGCGTCCAGCTCGGCAAAGATCACCCAGCTATGAATGGGTACTTAACTTAATAATTCGGGAAGTGATGTTGGTCAAGCGCAATACTGAACATGCTGTCTGCTTGTGCACAAAAAGATAGTATAGAGTTTGCTGTTTGTACTAATATACACTACCTCTAACGGGAGTTGAATCCCATGGTACCCTCTTTTACTTTACATTAATGTTTGTCATCGTCAGCATTGAGGAAATTATGATGAGTAAAAATTCTTGTAAGATGTCGTATAAATATAAGTCTTGTGGGCACGGCAAGCATAAGACCTCATGTTTAATTTATTCAGTTTTAGAATAGAATGCTAACACGCTGTTTTTATTTCTTATTACAGAAGAAGTTATATCACCAATACCAGCAGCATTGTCATCATCAACAGCAGCAACATCAGCAATAACGCTGCTGCATAAAGTAAATCTGTGGTGTCATCCACAGCCACAACTTATAGCACAGGTAACAAAGTAAAACAGAAATGTACGACATAAAGAAAAAAACAAAACTACAGCAACTTCAGAAACGGCAACACAATTTGCGGCACCAGCAGCAACAGGAACGACAAAAACATCAGCCCAAAACACGGCTTGGCAGTCGTCGGAAGTTGGTGGTTGTGGCCAGTGTTGTATTGTTAATATTTCTGATGATGGCTAACATGGAACCTGCAGCTCTCACACCGAAACATGTGGGACCTGATGCCCAGAGACCAGCTGTCCTCAAGCTGAGGGAACTGAGACCTGATGCCCCGGGACTTGATGCCCCGGGACTTGATGCCCAAGGACCCGATGCTCCGGGACCTGTTGCCCCAGGACCGGATGCCCCAGGACCAGATGCCCCGGGACCAGATGCCCCGGGACCTGATACCTCAGGACCTAATGTCCCAGGATCTGATGTCCCAGGATCTGATGCACCGGGACTTGATGCACCGGGACCTGATGCCCAAGGACCTGTTGCCCCAGGACTGGATGCCTCAGGATCAGATGCCCTGGGACCTGATACCTCAGGACCTGATGTCCCAGCATCAGGTACCCCTGGATCTAATGTCCCAAAACCTGATGTCCCAGGACCTGATGTCCCAGGATCAGATGCCCCTGGATCTAATGTCCCAGGACCTGATACCCCAGGATCTGATGCCCCAGGGTCTGATGCCCGGGGACCTGATGTTCACGAGGAGCCTGCTGCCACAACACCAGCTGACCTGAGGGCTGCAGGTATTTATACATCACAACTTTTCTATTAATTATGATATAAACACAGCCAAAATCACAAACTTTAATTCAAGTATAAACCTATACACTCAGGTCTCTTCAGTACAATGAAAGACAAAAGTCGTGTCGTAAAAACTGGGGAAAGCTAAAACTGTTTCACGAGTTATATTTAATCTTCGGACAAAACTGCGACGCGACTTTTGTATTTGATTGTACACACAAACAAAACTATCAGCTTTTCTTCTCGTTGATACAAGATGACACAATGGACTAAATGTCCTGATCGCAATTAGTGAATCCTTGACAACCGAACCGAAACTGGTGTATATTATGTTCATTTCCAAATACATCGGACCCAGGTGGGTAGATAGTTTTGGTGTGTGTGTGTAAACAGACACCTGTCTTAAGCATATATTATAATAAAATAAATTATTATTATGGGACTAATATTGTAAAAAATAAAAAAAAAACCATTTGGTTACTGACCTTCCTTATCGTGATTCACAATGGAAACTTGGATAAGATAAATCTTGATAAAATCACACAGGGAAAAGGAAAACAATGCAGAACATTAGCTTTCGTCTTTAATCAAGATGTATATACGGAATGTACATGGTATTAAGGGAGCATTGGTAGATATTTGTAGTAAAGGGGGTGTGATATACTGTATGTTAGGCAGAGTTGTGGGTATTCTTATTTCTGTAGTATAATGCTTGTTGGTAGTTAAGGGGTTGTAATGGGTGTTGTTATTGAAGATGTGAAGCTTAATGGTAGTTAGTGTGTCTTGGGTGTTTATAGTTGAGAGAGGCGTGGTGGTATTGGGAGTCACGTAGGTTGGCTTCGTGACAGTAGTGAAAAGAAATATTAAGAAGACAGATATTAGTGAGGGAGTAATGGTGGGTGGAGGTAGAATTGATAGACATTGGTTTGGAGAGTAGTGTCATCAGTTGTGCTGGAGGTGCAGAGTTAATGGGTGTTGGTTTGAGGGAAAATGTAATGGGTGATAGTATTTGGGAAAGTATTATGGGTAATGAAATTTAAGGAGGAATCATAGGTAATGGAAGATACGGACGGATGATGGTTGTTGATAACCGGGATATGTGATTGTTTTTAGTTAAATGTTCAATGATGCAGAAGTTAGGAACGATAGAGGTGAAATGAGTGCTGGTTATGACGGAGGTGTGATGGGTATTCATAGAAAGGAAGATGTGATGGGTATTAGTAATATGTAAGGAGCTGTGGATGTTTTTATTTGATGATGTGTGAGTGATGCTGGTTTTAAGGATATAATATTTGTGTTGAGTTTTGGAGAGGTGTGTTGTGCATTTATGGTAGGTGAGGTTTGATAGGGATTACTTATGAAAAAACTGTTATGGGTTTTGCTAATGAGGAAGGTGTCGTGTGTGATGGTAATGAGGACATGCACGATGATTGCATTTTAGAACTTTGTTGGATGTTGACAATGTAGTTCAAATGAGTATTGGTAGTGTACTGCGCACATCATTGTCATTCCTAAAAACCCATTTAATTCATACTACGCTATATAACATTCAAATCCACCGAGCTTGTAGAACCTCAGAAAACGGGAAACATTGATAAAGGATAACGCACCTACTCAATGTTACTAGACCATGTGTTGTATTGTACCCAGGTACAGTTATATAATGTTAATTGTATGTATTCATAGCATTAAGGAGAATTCAGGGTATCCATAAGATGATTGGGAAAGTCCAGTTGAGCCGGGCTAGTGTACTGTAGGACTAAGTGTGGATCATGGTTTGAAGGTCATACTATTTACGTCTGTGAACGTGTAGCGAACATAACTTCCACAGATATCATATGAAAATACATGAGAACAATGATCTGGAAAAAGGATAAAGGTATCAGAACTATGTGAAGTGTTGGAAGTGATCTAGAAACTATGCTTCAAAAAGAATATCTTGTATACCCACGCCATGAAGATACGAAGCTAGGCTTTGTTTGGGTTGGCGCCTAGGCCGCCTCGGGTGTGTCGCGTTGATATTATAACCCAATGAATTTACTCACGAACTAGCAAACCAAGACCTTACCTTAGTGTGTAATTTAGGATGAAAATATGTGTTTATACGGCATGAGTGACAATATACCGAAAAGTGTTCAGGTGAGAACCGTAAGAAATAAAAGTAAAAATTAAAGATTGGAAACTGTAGGCCTACGCCGTGAGGAGCGGCGGGGCACTTCCCTCAGTACCCTCCGTTCTACCGGCACCTCAGGTCAGTTTCCTATCGGGCTATATCCCGCCCTATAATTCAGACTTATATAGAAGTTATTACAGTTTAAAGCTTTGCCTGATGTATAAGTGTAATAGTAATGTGTTAGGGGGTGTGATAACCGCCAGTCAGGCATTATTTCTCAGTACCCTCCGTTCTACCGTCACCTCAGGTTCCATGCGGTCGGAGTGCCTTGCTGCCCGGCAGCCATTATCCCTATGAGCGTCCCAACAGGTGGTGACTACTCCCAGCTATGCCAATCCACTGTGAACCTGTGGATTTCCAGCACACCACTCCAAATGAGTAGTAACAAATAAGGAGACCGTGAGAAACTCTGCGGTCGTCACTTGGAGCGACCTATAATACCAGGCGTAGAAATAGTACTGGTATGTCTCTGGGTGAAGCCCTCGTCTTTACCCACCGAGGGCGGTGTGCGAGCGAGGTGCCTGTTGTGTATACCTAAAAGTTACAAGGAGTCCCATACCTGCAGGGGTGGAGTGTAACATGTGTGTTGAGATGGTGCGACTATGTATGATAACCGACGGTGCTATATTCCATACAGGTGGAGCAGTCTGATGTGTTAAGGGATAGTGTAAGAAGGAATGACCGAGGTAAGGTGGTCACGGATTGTTATGCAATAAGTATGTGGATGACACGCCATTAATGTAAGACGTCTGGTGCCCGTCTGGGTAACCAACATTTTCGTTGTTCTTCCGAGGAAGACCAATTCATTTGTATGTTTACCAGTATGCTTTACAAGGAATAAATTAATTAAGACATGTTATGGTTTCACCCTTCTTGCCCCTTATCGATCTGGTCAATGGAAAACCTAATCCAATGCCTAGTCCACTCTGCACGCTACCTAACGAGCTACATGCTGTCCAGAGGGGGTCTGGTGGCAGCGACCCTTAGAAATTAAGATTAGAGTTAAGTATTTACCCTTAGTATTAGTGACCCCCAGTCTGGCAGTATAGTAGTGAATGATGTGATGTGGATAATGCTAGTAAGCAGGTACGTGTGATGGATTCCGATAGTCGGTGAAGTTTAATGGGTTGCGGTAGTAAGAGTGGTGAGACTAGTGAGGGAGTTGTGATGAGATATTGTAATGAGGGTTTGGGATGGAGATGCGATCTATTCTTCTATGGGAGATGTGGGATGTGTGTTTAATGTAACGGAGGTGTTAAGACGGGTGATATTAATTTTGCTGTTGGGGAAGTATGATGTCTGTTGGTAATCTGGAAAGTGTGAGGAGATAAATTGATGGAATTGAATTGTGTGAACGTTGTGGGAGAGATATCATAAGTGTTGGTAGTGTGAGAATCGTAATGCTTGTTAGCAATAGGGTAAGTTTAGTGGATTTTAATGGATGAGGAGGCTTATTGACTAGTGTTAGTGAACCAGGTGTTTTAGTGAGGGAGATGTGATGGTTGTTTATGTATGGAGGATGGTCGGTTTAGGATGTGTAAATGGCTTAATATTTGTTGGTAGTAAAGAAGGTGTAATGTTTGCTGGATGTGAGGAAGGTGTGATTAATACTGGTATCAAGAGAGTTCTTATGAGTTTTTTATTCATGGGGGTTTCATGTGTGTGGGATGAGAGGGTGGCGAGATGGGTGATAATAGGGTGGGAGATGTAATGGTTGATTGTAGTGCGGGAGTTGAGATGGAAATATACCATTAGGAAGGTGTGTGTAGGTAATGAAAATAAAGGGTGTGTGATGTTGGTTGACGATGAGGTTTGGTGGATGTTGGTAGTGAAGGAAGTTTAATGGATGTTGTTCGTGAGAATGGATAATGCGTTTTGGAAATTAGAACCTAAGAGATGTATTATTAGTGGAAGAATTATCAGGAGTAATGTATTTGGATGAAATCTGATTGGTGTTTCTAATGGGAGTTATATAAATGTTGTTGATTGTGAGGGAAAAGTTATCGGTTTTGGTAGTGAGGGAAGTGAGACTGACTCTGGTTATAAGGGAGTTGTAATGGGTGTTACTAATGAGGGAAGTGTGATGGGTGTTACTAATGAGGGAGGTGTAATGGGTGTTGGTAATGAATCGGGTGTAATGTGTGGGTGTTACTAATAGGGAGGTGTAATGGGTGTTACTAATGAGGGAGGTATAATGGGTGTTACTAATAAGGGAGGTGTAAGGGGTGTTACTTATGAGGGAGGTGTAATGGGTGTTACTAATAAGGAGATATACTGGGTTCGGATAGTGAAGGAGATGAAGATGAACCTCCTACCTGCATTGAGGATGCGCGTTGTGGGTATTGCCGGTTATTTAGATTAGAGAGATGCAATAGGTATTCAATTTGCAGGCAGCAGGTATTAGTGAATGATGATGGGTAATGGCCGTCGTGGAACCATGGTATGAGCGACGTAGGTGTGGTGGATAGATACGGACGTGTGTGAGGGAGATGTGAAGTTTATTAGTGGTGATGTAGAAGTAAGGGGTATTGGTAGTAAGACGTCAGTAGTGAGGGAGGTGTGACGAGTATAGCGGATGGGAATGTGGGTAATAAAAGCATAATGGTTATTTGTTTTAGCAGTGATTTAATTATGGGTAAAAGTGATGTGATGGTTTTGGAAAGTGGTGGACGTTTTATACGTGTGGGTAATAGAGGTACAGAGTAATGAATATCGGCAGTAAGAGAAGTATATTAGCTGTAGGTAAATAGGGTTGATTCGTGTAGGTAATGAGGATGACATGATAGGAGTAGGTATTGGATTGGTGATGATTAATGGTATTTTTGTGTGATGGCTGTGTGTAATGGAGGGGTGATGGTGAATGGTGATGCAGACAACATTATTGCCATGAAAGTGATACAATATATGAGTTATGGAACTGGTGATCCTGAATTGATCCAACCTACACCTACACATAAGAATTTTGTGACTAGTCAATTTATACAAAGCTAAGAGAAAAAGAGAACTAGAGGTATAGAAAGAAAGACAGAGATAAATAGAGAAAGTGTGAGTATATGTAAGAGAGAGAGAGAGAGAGATCTGTCCACAGCATGTCAATTGAGGTCTACAATTATTAATGTGTTTTACTATG